GAGACTGCTTCAGCCTTAGAGCTGCAGAGATACAAGTGGAGGTCCTTGAAGCACGCAGCGCCGAGGGGAGGCAGCACACTTCTGCGAGCACTGTGGGGGTCTGAGGGCCCCTGGATGCGAGGCCTACTCAGCCTGCACCCTTCCTAGGCATCCCGTGGAGAGGCATCCCAGACGTCTCCGACCCAACCCGCACCCCATGTCTGCAGAGAGGCTCTGGTGGGCGAGCTGCCCCGGGCCCTAGCAGCGTGCAGAAGTTCAGCCTGATGCACGGAGCTCTGTGCTTTCCGAAGGTGTTTTTATATCTGCAGTTCTAACACAATTGGAAATTTAATTAAACATTAATTGAATTAATGATATGTATGTGCTAAAAGGGAGCTGCTATTTGCTTGAAGGCGGGGAATGTGCTTTGAGACAGCTCTGAAAATCTGCCTTCCAGTAGGTGCAGGTGAGGCAGAGGTGACCGAGCATGGATGCAGGTGCCCATGTGTATGCCAGGCTTGCGTCCTCACTGAGCCAGGTCACCATTTTACAGTCACATCCATGAGCGAGGCTGGCTTATACTTTTCCTTTCTGGAAGCTCTTCTGGTCTACCTTTGGTATCAAGGGCACTGATGAGGGTGGGCGGGCAGAGGGCATGGTCAGCCAGCCACGCAGCTGGCCGGGGGCGCAGGCAGCAAGGCGTAGCCACCATCAGCATTCTTGCTGTGGCTTGGCCCACCCAGCCCGGGTCCCGACGAGCAGCTGCTTCCCACTGAGGCCTCAGCGCAGACCTCCCTGCAGTCTTGCCTTCTGCTTCCGAGTTCTGATCCACGCGGAATGAACTTCGTGCCTGGCGTGAGACGGGACTCTGATCCCCTCTGGAATGGTCTGCTGTCTCAGGAGCACATGTGGAAACTTCAGCCCTCACACACCAAGTTCCTGTGGCTGTGGGCCCAGACGCTGTAGCCCGCCCTGTGCCTCACTACTGGGCGCACCCTCAGCACGGGGCCTGGACAGCGTGCGGCAGCGCTTTAGTCACTGTTGCACGTGAAAACCTGAAGCAGAACGAACTTTCCACATCTACTTTGGCGATCGTACGGTGCTGCTCATTAATCTATTAACATGTTTGGTGACGCTTGAGGATCTTTCACTCTTGTCTTTTCTGGAAGAAATTCACCTGGCCAATGTGCGTCTTCTGTTTTCCACATGGCTACATTTGGTTTGCTAATATTTTGTGTCAGATTTTTTTTTTTTTTTAATGTGTTTGGCACAGGGTTTCATTATGTAGCTCAGATTTGTAGTGATCCTCCCGTTTTTAGCCTCCCCAGCACTGGGATTACAGGCATGTGCCACCACGCCTGGTCTCGGGGCCGGCGCAGCATGTGGTGCTGGGGATTGAACCCTGCTCACTGCGCTTGCCAAAGCCGGCGCTTAGTCTGCTGATCTGTCTTGCTGGCCCTCTGCGTCAGAGTTTTACAGTCACATCCATGAGCGAGGCTGGCTTATACTTTTCCTTTCTAGAAGCTCTTCTGGTCTACCTTTGGTATCAAGGGTCCCCTGGCTCGGTGAGTGGGTAAAAGTGTCCCCTTTTGCTATTCTCTGGAAATTTTAAGCTTGCAAATGTCTATAGATTAAAAAAAATGGTAGAACTTATTTATTCTCAGTAGCTCATAGCATTGTCTTTGGAAGGTTTACTGACTAAAAGATAATTTAAACATTCTATATTTTTCTTGAATCGATTTTGGTAGCTTAAGTATTTCTAGAAGTTTGTCCATTTTGAGTAAGTTTTCACACTTCCTGATATAATGCTGTCTGAGGTTTCAATACCTTCTCAGTTCTGCTTCATCTTTGGGGAGAAGGACCCCAGAACCAAGAGACGGTCTGATCTTTGCTCTGTGGGGCAAAACAATTAGGGACTCAATTGACGAGTCTGGATACACACCGCGCAACAGTCTTTCCTGAGCCTGCTCTTTCTTAGTGAATCCTGTCATAGCTTTGTCGATTTTATTGCTCTCTTCCCAAGAGCTAACTTCTGCCTTTATTGAGTAATTTGTTAGCTTCCTTCTGCTCTTTTCTTCTTTGTGTCCTGCCTCCTATCTCCTCCGAATTCATTCCAACGTTCTGTATCTATCACCCTAAGTTGCAAACTTGGCATATTAATCTTCAGCATTTTTTCTTTCAATGCAAACATTTAAGGCTGTAATTTCTCTGCATGTTTGTTCATTGCCCTAATTTTGACATGCATTATTTTTATTTTCATTTAGTCCCTAAGTAGTTTTCAGTTTCAATTATGACTTCTTTTGAGAACCATGCAGAATTTAGAAGTGGATTCATAATTTTAATTTAATAGATGCCTTTTGTCTTATAGCCTTCCAATTTAATTGTATTTCATTCAGAGAAGTATGGCATAATTGATTCTTCAAAAAGGAGCTGAAATCTGTTTTCTGGTCTTGTATATGGCCACATTTGCACACAATGGCTACATGCACTTGCGAAGTAGGCATGTTCTCTAGTTGTTAAAGGTCTTTATTTGTCCAAAAAAACAAGTGTGTTGAGGTTTTTTTTTTTTTTTTAATGTATTTGGTGCAGGGTCTCTTATGCAGCTTGGACTCTTAGGGATCCTCCTGTTTTCAGTCTCCCTAGCGCTGGGATTATAGGCATGTGCCACCATGCCTGAACTTGGTCGCTGGCTCAGCGCACCCTGGGGTGGGTCTGGGGTGGCATATGCTACTGGGGACTGAACCCCAGTCTCTGCACTTGCCTAAGCAGGCACTTAGTCTGCTGAACTATTAGGCTCGAAACTTGTCTATTCTTGCCACTGTTTGACCTCTGGTCCGTCAGTACTGGAAAGGGGAGTGCTGAAGGGCTCCACCACCATTTCTCCCTGGAGTCTCGGGCCCCACATACACGGGAAGGCACTGGTGCTTCCGCCTGGGCTGTGCAGGGGACGAGGGTTCTCCCGCACTCTGACACGTGCTCTCCTCTTCAGTTGCGATCCTCTCTCTCCCTAATGAAGTCAACACCACTGTTCTACTTTTCTGGTAGGTGTCTCTCTGACCATTACTTTGCACAATTTTTCTGTCAGCCTTTCAGGTTCTCAAGAGTCAGCTATGTTTCTTGTGAACATCTGTGTACTGGGAGTACTGCTTGCTCTTCAAATTGGAAACATTTCATTTCCAAGAGTAATTTATGTTTATCTGGTTTTCTTGCTTTCTATTTCTCCCACTTTCTTATGCGTTCTGCTTGACCTACCAGTGAACCAGGGCGGGAGACAGGGCTGCCTAAGCCCTCTGACCCCACACCTCCTTTCAGCCCCAGGATTAGTGGACCAGCAAGGCAGGTAAGTACCTTGGCCAGCTCCTCAGGGCTCCTGTCTGGATCCACAGCCTGCGCTCTTTCTGGTGCCCACTTCCTTTACTTACTTTATGGAAAGATTGATTATGCTTTCAAACATTGCAAAGACAGTATTCACTCAGCACTTCCGGTGCCCTCTGCGGCGCGGGCTGTATCCCCCCACGCTGCTCAGCCCTCGGTGTTCTTAGCAACACCACGGTGGCTCTGCCTGTCCTCCCCAGGCCCGACAGATGCAGCGTGACACACACAGAGGGCTGCACCACGCTGGAAGAAGAAACGATGTGCGCATTCTTGTTCTGAACACTGCGGTATTTCGCAAAAAGTTCAAGAGTGGTAGAAGAAAACCTTTCTTTTTGGCTCTGTGAGCTCATTGCTGGGGAAGGCTGCTCCTGGTAGCCACTCCTCACGCAGTGTGTATTTGTGAACGCGAGAAGGGCGGGGCTTCAGGGCGCGAGGACCACAAGTCTGACTGCTACGTGAGGAGCGGGGGTGGCGTGCGTCACCCCAGGAGGGTGACCCTGACAGTGCTCAACTACAAAACAGACGAGCCGCGGAAAGCAAGTTCAGCACGGGTCACCAAGAGGCAGATAAGACACCACGGCCCGCGGGTGGGGACCAGAAGCCACAGGAGCAAGTGACTTCCGGGAGCAAGTGACTTCCGGGAGCAAGTGACTTCCGGGGGCAAGTGACTTCCGGG